TCAGTTTTTCTCATACCTACCTACTCTTTTTCACTGTTTGACCTGATCAAGACTTTTCTAAGGTTTTACATTATAAAATAGGTAAAAGTGTGTGACTTGTACTGTTATGGTAACGGGTCAATATTGGGACATCCCTAGTTTTGATGCCCTTTATAGCTACAGGTAAATGTTTGAAGGGGTTGACATGAAACTCTGTATAACACAAAGGATCAGAACCAGAAGTCCCAGAAAAAGATCATTTGAACAAACATGTTTTTCAGAAGCAAGTCACAAGATAAAACCAGTCTGTCCCAACAAGCACACTTCTCCCAACACACTACAGTACCACAATGCGTTACTGCCAGATTAATCTATGACATATAATTAAGCACAACCACAACTGAAGTCAGTAGACAGGATTACTTTGGGTACAAATGATTAATTAGTACAGAAAGATGACAGGTTAAATGGACCTGTTACTAGACGTGGGTTTGACTGACTAATCTAATGTTTATGGAAATATAATTTATTTGGGTGACAATCTGTGAGATTAGCAGCAGATGTCACCAGTGAGCAATGAATGAAGCAGAGTAATGAACCTTTGAGGCTTCACCTGGCTGTCAGGGACAGCTCAGGTGTTCAGGTCAACAGGTAGACTCAGCATGACTCTTAATCCTCACCAAACATGTTGGAGCTGCTTGGGTCTGGACTTTCCTCCTCCTCCTCCTCCTCCTCCTCCTCCTGCTGGTCCTTAGAGCTGTCCACCGCTTCCTCCGCCACGTCACTCATGTCTGCCACGCCCCCTTCTGACAGGAAACACACAGGTTAATGAAGCCACGCCCCCTTCTGACAGGAAACACACAGGTTAATGAAGCCACGCCCTCTTCTGACAGGAAACACACTGAGCTAAACTAGAGATAACTAAAGTTTTTTTATTAAACAACAAAGATCACACAAAATAACACAACGTACAAACAATAAGGCGTATTTCAAACAAACAAACGTGCATATAAGAGAAAAGGATGGGTGCAAATAAAGATATGTTTAACAATAAGAAGGAATAAAAAAGGCTAGGGTTTAGATGTTAAATCACACTGTTCATTTAAAGAGCACCGAGTGTGGGCATGTTTACTACAGTGTGTATCACTTTAAGAGAACTGCAGTACAAAATAAAGTCATTGTGAAAATGATAGAAATTTGGTTTAACCTTAAGATATTTAGCTTTATGGATGAAAAACTTCCCCAGAATGATAATAGTGTTGATGAGAAAGTCATAACTAAAGTTAACCAGAGCTAAACTAGAGCTAACTACAGACAACTATAACTAAACTAGAGCTAACTACAGACAACTATAACTAAACTAGGGCTAACTACAGACAACTATATCTAAACTAGAGCCA